GATGATGATACATGATGATGATGATAAATGATGATACACGATGAAGACACTTGATGGTGATACATGATGATACATGATGATGATACATAATGATGATACATGATGATGATACATGCTGATGATACATGATGATAATACATTATGAAACATGAGGATGATGAATAATGGATGACACGTAATGATCAAGAGAGGTCAAAATTGGTCAAAATGTTAAAGTATTCGGTGAATCAGTATGAATTACCTGTCGGACGTCCTATAAAAAAAGAAAATCATAACATGAGTATCAACATGAATGTCAGAAAGTAATATACACTCCTCAACGACATTCATCACATGTCGGGATCAAACTATTGGGGACTAAGAAATATTTGGAAAATGATTCGGATGCATGTTTCATGTTCCTTCAATATTGACTGTATACCATGGTCATCATTATCATTGATCATGGTCAGCCACTATGGTTAGACCATGTACAGTCAAAATATGTATGACCGTGGTTGACAATGAAAAACCATGGTACCACGGTCCATGGGCATATCCAGGGGTGGTAAAAAGGGTGACTTGTTACCCCTTTTTGCTCATATTTCTCAGTATATCGTTAGGAACAGTCACCCTCTTCTAAATTTCCTACGGATCCGACCCTGTAGTGATCCTAACTCAGGAGTTGGTACAAGCGGTCAGTACACATTTAGACTATTACTTACTTGTTGGTAAAGGTAGACTTGCTATAATAGAAAGAAAAACATAACATGAGCATTGGTATGAAAGTAAAATACAATAAGAAAGGCAATTGTATTTTTTAAAGTACGCTTAGTACATACCGCCACACACTACACCAGCATCTTCACTATGACCACAATTATGGTTTTTCTACCCTCCAGATGAACATCTTGGCAATGTTAACTCTGAGCCTCTACATTGTACATCGTCGAGCAGAATAGGGCCTGTTCCTTGACCAAACCTTGCCCTAGATATAGCCTGTGTAGCGCGGGGTAATCCAAGCTGACGACAAACGACGATGGCATCGTTTAAATCCCAATCGTCATCACAGACTGTACCCCATGTACGTGTCGGGGGATAGTAAACTTCCACGCGTCCTTCGTTTAACGACCTTCCTCCCACCAGCCTCACTTGGAATGCTGTATGTAAGTACGATAGACAATGTGCTATCATTTATTATAATTATTATCATTGTCATTATTTCATCACCACCATATATCAATGTAGTGTAGTGT